TGATAGGTTTTTCAGGGGGAAACTTACTGATGTTAAAACTGTGCAACATGGGGCTGGAGCAATAGCACAGCAGGTAGGGCATTTGCCTTGCACGCAGCCAACATGGCCGACCCGGGTTCGATTCCCAGCATCCCATATGGTCCCCCGAGCACCGCCAGGAGCAATTCCTGAGTGCATGAGCCAGGAGTAACCCCTGAGCATCGCTGGGTGTGACCCAAAAAGCAAAAAAAAAAAAAAAAAACAAAAAAAAAACTGTGCAACATCCCCAACAGAATATATGAAGAATGACTTTTTTTTAATGAAGAGCTTGTGCATGTTCAACCAATGACTATGAGGAAAAAACTATTTACTTGGAGGTTCTTGCCAATTTTCACACTGAAAATACTCCTATGGTGATCAATTTCAAACTGTTATTCAGCATATAGTGGGAAGAGTGGAAGTCCATGTGCTCCCACAGAACGATGCAAACCAGCTTTATGGTTTTTGTTTATGTTCCCCTTCACTGTTTTAAAATCTGGTTCTTCTGGTGCTGGAGAGATAGTACAGCTGTAGGCCGTCTGACCCAGGTTCAATTCCCAGCGTCCAATACTCTGAGTACTACCAGGAGTAATTCCTGATTGCAAAGCCAGGAGTAACCCCTGTGCATTGCTGGGTGTGACTCAAAAAGAAAAAAAAATCTGGGTCTTTTGCCCTTCCACTTTGATTGTGAACAAGTGCAGGCAACCTAAATTCCTCTATCACAATTTCCCTACAAACACAGCCACCACCGTTCTATGTCTTTGCATTTTGAACACCCAGCACTTGTTGAAAGCTCCAACACAAGCTACAGGAATGTAAACAATGTAGATGATTCAAAGATAAGTAAGAAGGCCTACATTGCCTTGCCCCTTGAGAAAAGATGCCTGTGTAAACAATAAAAGGAAATGAACACCAGATGAGGGAGATAAAAAGTAAAATACCTCAAAAAGTAACCAGCTTCAAAATTTTCAAATTGGTAACTATGTTTCTTTAAATCTCTTCATAAGTTAGGTAACTTAGAAGAATTCTCTAAAATAAAGGCTGCTGGTAAACTTTGCCAGAAGAGATGTCTTCATTTTATTTTTGTTTTGTAGGTTATAGTTGGGCAGGGGTGATAGCACAGCGGGTAGGGTGTTTGTTTGCCTTGCACGGGGCTGATCCGAGTTTGATTCCTCTACCCCTCTCAGAGATCCCAGCAAGCTACAAGTATCTCTTGCGCACAGCTAAGCCTGGCAAGCTACCTGTGATGTATTCGATATGCCAAAAACAGTAACAACAAGATGTCAAAATATGGTGTAAGACGTTACTGGCACCAGCTAGAGCAAATTGATGAACAATGGGAGGACAGTGCTTCAGTGCTACCGGTTATACTCAGCTATGCTCAGGGCTTATTCTTGACTTTGTCCACAAGAGTCAATTCTGCTTGTGCACAAGGGACCACATAGGGTATCAGGGACCAAACCTGGGCCAGTGGCGTGCAAGGTGGGGGTCTTTCCTACTGTACCATTTCTACAGCCCTAGAAAATTATTATATTTATTACTTTTTAAATTTTTGAGGTTTGGGGCTACACCCAGTTGTAATCAGAAGTTACTCCTGGCTCTATGCTCAGGACTATCTCCTGGCAGGACCCAGAGGACCATAACAGGTACTTGCAATCAAACCCAGGTCAACGACATGCAAGAACAAGCACACTCTCCAGCAGCAGCCCTAGAAAGATTATTTCTGAATAATCAGCTTTCAATTATATGACCAGTGCATTTTAGAATTTCTTAATAATAAAAAATAGTGTAAGTGAAGATTATGTATATTGTACCACAACAAGACTTCCTTCTCCTACATTTATCACACACTCTCTTAAGTTTCTGATTATTCCCAGACTCTCTAGCAAATTTTTATTTCTTTATGCACCTTTTGAATGCAGATTCATGCAATGCAAGCAAGGCATAATCAATTTGCCTCAAAACATGTGTTGGATGCATATAATGAAGAGGAATCCTTAATTTGGTAACCTAGTCACTATTTTAATTGGGAAAATTATTAATTTCCTTGGAAAAATTTTCCAAGCCTAAATTAAAAGATGAACATGACAAGCAGAGTTAAAAGAGAGAAATAGCAGCTAACTTAATGCTCTCTCCAGGTTCTAACCAGAAGTAAAAAAGCAATTCAAAGCCTTGAGAAGATTCACTGCCTACTACACTAGGTTTTGAATTGATTTTGTAAATCACATATCCTAAGGGTATTTAGGATTAGTATATTCTCCACATGGGTTTGCACTCTACTGGGAAAAAGTAAATTATTTGACTGCAGGGATTTTAGGTGTCAGATACCAGGGAACTGAAGTCATAGTAATTTAAAGTTAGATTCAAGGTGGAGAGAAGATGATGGGAAACTGGTTTAACGCCCATTTAAAAGTACAAGGTGTAGGTGTGCTAGTGAAATAGCAAGAAGAGTCCACCTCAAAATACTAGTTTCTTTCTTCTCTGGCCAAAAAGGGTAGACTAAACTAATTGTCAAAAGTAAGTCTAGATAGAATATTTAAGTGCAGCACATTCTCTCTTAGTAGATTTTAATTAGAAATTTATGAGGAAAGAATTCAGCAAGGTATGTAATTTAAAGTTTTGCTGTTAAAATTACTCATTTATTTTATTTTTTTATTGCTGTATGACTCACTTTTAAACAAATGGTGGCAAAGTTACTATGCCCTAGCAGCTTTTATGGAAAAATTAAGAATAAAATGTTGAAGTTTCATAACAAATTCCAAATGGTTCGTTGACTTTGTTTCACCAAGGCAAAGTCACTTAACCTCCCAGTGTCAGTTTGCCCATCTGTGAAATGAGAAGTATAATATTTTCTTAAGGGGATGTTTTAAAAAATTATTTGCAAATGTAGTAGACAACATTGTTGCAAGCATCACTGCTCTTCCTACATTTCTTTAAAGAAGTAGGCATTATTATTTATGTCCCAGTTGATAGTCAACCTGTCATCTGAGTTGACCTATATGTATTTGTTAGCAATTGTGTAGGTTTTATTACTCAAAGAATCATTTCCACCCCATTATTGGCCAAGTTATGCATTGCATCCATACCTGGTAACCCAAGCAACATATCTCAAAATTAGTCTGAATTTCAAATTTATGAGTTTTAAGTTTGATATTTCTGATAGTTATGCTTCTTCTAATGTTAACTAATGTCTTCTCTTTTTTTGTTTTGATTTTTTTTGCCTCACTTCACAAGACACAATATTAATATTTCTCCATGTTTCTTTACTAGAGGTCATCTCTGTCTGAGCTGAAGGTAAAACACACCCCACTCTGGCACCTGTTGACTTTCAAGTCAACTATTAAAGAACTTATTGCAGACATCTATTAACCTCAGTTTTCAAACTCTGCCCTAAAAATTCACTGTCACTGTCACTGTCCTCTCGTTGTTCATCGATTTGCTCGAGTGGGCCCAGTAACGTCTCTATTGTGACACTTGTTACTGTGTTTGGCAGATTGAATATGTCATGGGTAGCTTGCCAGGCTTTGCCATGTGGATGAGATACTCTGAGTATCTTGCCGGGCTCTCCAAGAGGGCCAGAGGAATTGAACCCGGGTCGGCCGGGTCAGACACATACAAGGATAACGCCCTACCCGCTGTGCTGTGCTATCCCTCCAAAAAATTTCTGGGAGATATTCTGAGGAGTTGCTATGGTGACTCTGAGAGGTTGGCATTGAGAAGACAAAGCCACTGATACCAGATCTTTATGCTTGATAGACTTAATTATATAATGTGGTCGTGAACTTCTGTGCTTGTGTCATTTCGGTCTGGGAAGAAATGTTCCCCTTCAGGCTCTTCCATCTTTTATGGTGCCAAACAGACTTCTTGGTAATAAGATTTGTTATGCCAATAGCTCCAGCATAACCTCAAGTGGTGCTTGTAGTAATGATAGAATCATTACAAAACTATTGAAGATAAGAAAAATACATTTCATGGGTGTGATTATGTCATCATAATGTTCTTGCATATGTAAATTGCCCTTGACTTAATGAACTACTTTACTCACATAATAGTATTTTAACCTGGCTCTAGAAAGTAATTTTTTTACCCATGTTGATAATTGTTACTAGACTTCGCAGAACTCAACTCCAGATAATCTTACTGAAGTTACATTTATGAATAATGTTTCCATGTGCCTGAATTTTGTTTTAACTATTAGAAGTGCTCTTATTAAGTAAAGTTATTACACAAATTATTTTGATTAATTAGTATGGTACTTAGGTAGAAGAAAAACTTGATTACATTCTCATGATACCAAAATTGACAGGGGTCATTTTAAAAATAATTTTTTTCTTGATTACAAAAGACATTTTTTGCATAAAATCAGAAAACTATAGAAAGGAAAAAAAGAAGGTAAACATTTTGAAGAATATTTACATTACAAACAAAAAACATATTTTGTATTTCTAAATCCAGTTATATGTACTAGAAACCCTGCTAAAACAAGTTTCTATTTTTATTGGTTTTATCAGAAATAGAGTCTAAAGTATCCATATCACATAGACTTTATTCAGAATTATAGGAACTACAAGGGAAGTATGCCAGGCACTTCCTTTGCTGTTTAATCCAAAATTATTCTAGGGACTTATCTTCAAAGATAACCAGGTCTAGCACCACATAATTAATGCAAGTCCAAAGGAAATTAATGATAATCATGCTACTATTTGAATATGAATCTCAGTGTGTGCTTAGAAGGAAAGAAATTCTGGAAATTATAGAGAACCAAAAGTAGACCTAAAGATATATCAAAACTGTTGTCTTCTGTTCAAGAATATTTATTTTGTCTTGTATCTTTATTTCTTTATATATTTAATATCTAGGTTTTCACCATTTGTTTGCTGTAAATGTTATTTGGAGTGGAACGTTAGATTTAGTGTCACTCTTGGGAAGTTAATCATTTTATAACTTTTACTTAATCAACATTTCTTTTAATCCCCTTTCAGGCAGCCAAGGGCAGTTTCCACTAACACAGAATGTAACGGTTGTTGAAGGTGGAACTGCAATTTTGACCTGCAGAGTTGATCAAAATGATAACACCTCCCTCCAGTGGTCAAATCCAGCTCAACAGACTCTGTACTTTGATGACAAGAAAGGTGAATATATTTTCTTTTAAATGTTTTAATCATATTCCAAAATGTCATAATTATAATGAATTTATTTTTCTGAGATGATTCAAATTATTCCTTGTGATTACCAAACTGCTGCTGCTTGTATTTAAACATGTTAAATATTAAATACTTTAGTTTGCAAGTCATAAACACTAAAGATAACCTATGTCAACTTTTTAATAAAATAAACAGTTCTAATTCTATTTCAGAAATAGTTTTATACTTTTTCTCCACAATTATCTTCTCTCCAGATACTATACTCTTACAATCTTCTAGTTGTCTTGTGTGTGACTTGAATATTTTTCCTGGTATTATAATGTGTTGTTTTATTAATTTGCATGCTTAATTTAATGTATTTAGAAGATATTATATTAGTAATACTTTGAAATTTTATTTTCATGAATTGTGCTTAAAAGTAAGCATTGTAGTATGGATTCATATCATAAGTTTACTTAAATCTATACTTCTAGTTCACATTAAGTATGAGACTGCATTTATTTAACTTGAACAGTATTTCATTAGCTCACTGTAATTTTTAATAATTGTTATAAACTTTGGGATAAGGGAGTTGTTAGGGCGCAGATTGTGATCTCCCTTTAACGACAAAGAGACTCCAGAGACTGCAAACAGCAAGCAAGGTTTATTGTAAGACTGGCTAGCCAGGGTCAAGCCGCCTACACAGACACGTAGGTCAGTTAGGTGAGGCAAGACCCCGAACTTCTTCAAAGGGGATCTTATATAGGCCTTCACTGGCCGTTACTGCAAAGCCCGCGCATTTCATAGCCAATAGATTTGTAACAACATATGCTTTCTTAACCAATCCAATTAAGGGCACATCACTTAGCCTATAGTTTAAAGATCAGCATTTTGCGTTGGTGCTTAGGAACTGACAGGTTTTTAAGGCAGTCCTGGGTCTTGCAACATGGGTCTTGTGAGAGACATCCGGTTATCTGGTCTGACCCCCACCCTTCGAGTACCTGTATCTGAATTCCTTGTTCAGGGGCAGAAAAACCAGTTATTTTGCAGGGCAGGCTCCTATAAAGCGGATCTGAAAAAGCTTATCTAGACCTGTTCCTTGAAAAACAAGTTATTTTGCAATGCAGGTTCCTATTGAGCTAAGCTAAATTAATTCTGGTGGTAGTCCATTTTGGGCCTGTCCCTTACAGGAGTGAGCTTATGTAATAAAAATATGGAGTTTTTACTTTAGAGAAATTTAAATTACATAGAATACAAATATATTTATATGAACCATATAGCACAATCTTAATATCTAGATTGGTGATAAATTTGTGAAAATAACACTAAAAATATTTGAAACCAGTTCCATTTGGTAATTATTGTGTATTCAAATCCAGCAAAAGTTCCTGTTTGCTTACGATATACAGACACTATGTCTTATATACTGCTATAGTTTTCCTTTTTGCATAGTCTTGAATGAAAACTAAATTTGCACTTAAACCAGTGGTTCCCAAATATATTTAGGCCACTACCCCCTTTTAAGAGAAAAAAAAAGATTATGCAGACCTCCCCTTCATCTTACCAAAAGTCTACCTCTACCTTCTTTAAGCCAAAACAAACCTATCAACCTATCAGGGGAGAAAAAAAGAAAGGAAAGGAAAGTGCTCACCTGAGTGCATCTAAAAACATGGATAACACCTAAATATTCCCAGTGTCCCTTGGGGATGGTGTCATCCTTCTTGGGAAGATTGACTTAAATTTTATGAGAAATGGTTGATGTTGGTGGGCCCCACGGGGAACTTATGTGAAGAGGGTGATGTCGGTGGGCTCCACGGGTGACTTATGTGAAGCAGGGAGGAGAAAGAAGGTCACTGTCTCCCCAACCGCCTCTGCCACCTGGGACTCAGGGTTACTGGGTTCTTGTCTCGCCTCACAGAAAGGAATTTTAGGCGTAGACAAGCAGTGAAGTAAATAGATTTTATTTGGAGGATTTTTTAAGGCGTGGAGTGAGGGGGAAAGAAAGGAGAGAAGAAAGGAGAGAAAGAGAGAGAGAGAGAGAGAGAGAGAGAGAGTAAGGTTAGACATGAAATCATGAAAGTACACATCTCAAGAGGGGAGATGCGGGCGACACATGTGCTTGGACACCACGTGTGCTCAGCCACGTGGGTGTAAGCACACATGGGCTCAGGCAGCATATGTGCGCCCTTCCTTTGTTCAAGGTGTCCTTTATAGCGTTTCTCCAACCTGCCCCCACGTGGGGCTTCTTCCCAGGTAAATGTCCGTTGCTAAGGAAGTTACCAGGGAGGATGAGAGTGGTGATGGTCTTCTTTGAAATTCCTTTCCTGGTCTTTTGTTCCTGTAGGAGCTATCCTGGGTCTGTAGCTGGAGCCAGGTGAGGGTCTTATCAGTCCTTAGTTCCTGTTTTTCCTGCTTTCTGCAGTGCTGGCTTTTGCCATTGCCTTGGGAGGGAGAGTGGCCTTCCTTGTCTACTTGCCTACATCAGGGTTAGTAAAACGTCTTTTAGCGTGCTAGAGATAGTATAGTAGATGATGTGCTTGCCTTGCATGTAGCTGAGCCAGGTCTGATGGCACTTCTAATGTTTCCACAAACAGCACCAAGAGTGAGCCCTTAGCACAGAGTTCTTTAGGACACAGGGGGGACTCTAGGTAAAGTGCCCTACCTTGCCGATCTGAGCCTGTGAAGTTCAAAGTAAATCAATGTTTCCTCACACTCTTAGACTCATTTTGGCATCTCTGGTTTACTGAACTAAGTGCATGAGACCTTGATCATCACAATAACAAAGGTAAAGAAATGGGAAAATAAAACAGGATAATAGGAACTAGGGAGATGGTACATGGAGTAAAGTGCTTGTGTTGCATGTGACCAATTCAATCCCCAGCAGTACATGGTCTCTGGAGCACTGCTGGATATGACTCTTGAGGTCTCCATGCATTTCAGAGCAACCGCTAATTCCCAGAAATGCAGTGCATAAGCAATACCTCATTTCAGACCCTTGGGGACAACAGATATTTAGGGATGTTAGTGGTGAGCAGTTAAAAAGGATGTTTATTATGTATGAACTAGGTCATCTGTAGATATATGTAGTCCAAGATGATAACATAGTAATTTAGACAAAATGTTTATTGATTTCGTCAATTGCCTCGAGCAGGCCCCAGTAACGTCTCCTTCACCCTAGCCCTGAGATTTTAAAAAGTGCCGTATTCAAGGCTCTTTCAGGGTTTGGAGAATGAAACCCATCATTGTTACTGGTATTTGGCATATTGGGTACACCATGGGGAGTTTGCCAGACTCTACCATGTGGGCAGGTTACATTTGGTAGTAATATTAAAATATTAATTTAATTATTTTTAGCATTGCATTTAAAGAGATTTTATTTGAAAGTGTAATGCGTCCAATGAGACATTTGTCATAAACAAATATTACTTTTTATTAGAGCAAAACTTGTTTTTTGTCATTGTATCCTGAAGAAATATAATGATCTCCACTATGAAACACATATGGTACTGCTTTTTAAGGTGATTTCTGAGAGTTGTGTTTACTATAACATCTACAATTGTAAGGTGAAATCCTCAGGCAAAACAAAATCTATACAAAAAGTCTTTGCCTTTTCTTTTAGTGATTTTATAAGTCCTCCTCTCCAGAGCATCTAAAACTAGAGTTGATTCAGGATATTTCAAGCCAATTCATCTTACCCTGTAGAAAATAGAGAGCAATATGTGATATGAGATTTGCTAAGACTTGAAAATAAGGCAGTCCCTCTTTTCTCAGAGATACTTATGCTAAGAAAAACATACAAAAATCCCATGTGAAACTGATTGTGCTATATTTGGGATATTAAATGATACAGTTCTACATCTTTGTGCTAAAAAACAGCATATATATAATCATATTTCTTAGGTGAAAGGGGTAATGCCCCACTTCTCTGAGCTCAACAGATAAGCAAAGCAGAAGCAGGAAGTTTGGCAAAGGAAATATTGATTTTAAAAGATACATATGAGAGATTGACATGGCAGTACACTCTAAATAAAGGAAAGGATTATATATTCTATTTTATGCAATATTGATTTAGTTAGGCAACATTCTATTCTATTATTCTATTCTATTCTATTCTATTCTATTCTATTCTATTCTATTCTATTCTATTCTATTCTATCCTATTCTGTAGAATACAGGTCTGAAGAAGAGAAGACAGTTTTCACATAACAAGGAGGAAATTGAGTCACCTTCACTTTTCTTTTAGAAAGAAGAGATTCACATAACAAGAAGGAATACTCAATACTAAACCTCCATCTGAGTGATATTCCTCAAAATATTCTAGATAATAACCTGCCAAACAGTGACTGCCTTCTTAATTGGGAAAAAGACAAAGGTCTGAGGTTGAACAAGAGTTTCATTGCACATAGCCTCTAGACCATTGCCGCCCTTAACTTATTCTGTATTTCTAAGCAGTAATAACAGGTTCTCTTGAGGTAGAGGAGAAAGACAGACCCTTAGTTTACCATAACCAAGTGATAATTATTATGATCTGTGTATCTGGCTCACATACATGCCTTACCTGTGTGGGATCCTAGATTTGATCCCTAATACCACTTCCATTCTTCCATCTGTTACTGCCAAACTGCCCTAGACAATTGGGCATGACTACCTTAACAGCATAAAAACAACCAAGAGAGTGATCATTATTGGAAGAAACTTATTCTGAACATACTGAGTAATCTCTACACTCCCAATTTATGTAGTAGATTAGAACTATAGTGGAAAAAAGTGTGTGTGTGTATTTGGATATTAGACTTATAACTCTATTGTGATTCTAATGGTCAGCTAAAACAGAATGACAGAAAGTTTTAATAAAAGAAATCCTGTGCTGAGTAGCAATTTAACATGTCTATTCCCTCACAAGTCATTAGGTACTGAAGTGATATTTAAGTGAAAGGAATCCTTGGCAATAATTCAACAATGCACATCAAATCCAAAAGTTTGAAAATAAAAGCTCCTACTGTTTTATT